TGCAGAGTTCAGAATGTGTCATATGGAATTTAAAATAAATTAAAGTGCAAGAATTAATAAATCCTGCTCACAAATGAATAAATGTGTCGTGTGGATCAAACTTCTTGCGATCAAATCAGTTATCTAGTTGCTCACCGGGTGTCGCAAACAAAGAAAAAGTCACCCTCTTAAAAGTATAAATGATATGCACATAATACAAAGATAACAACATATTTATGCAAGAGCACACATTAGTTTTTCTTTCTTCACGACACCGGCTGGGCTCCATATGTTGCAGACTCTGAACAAACCACAACAACAAAAACAACGGAAGACAGTTTTGTGGAACATGAACGTCATTATCTCAACATTAAACAACACGCGGCATGTGTCGCCATGTTTACTTTTGTTTATGTTGTGCAACATTTGAAGTTCTGGAGGGAATATTTTGGTGTTGGTCAGGATGATTGGGCTCTGATCTGCTCCTTTGTGGATAGTGGGAGAAGTAAGAAAATCTCATTCAAAATCCCATTGACATTTGTAACAATTCTAATAAACATCCAGTCATAGAACAGAGACTCTCGTCATGTGAATCACCACATTCTCGAGAAAGAATACCTCCTCTGACTGATAGTCATGATGAAATTCACCATCTCAGCAGAATTGATCCACCTGCATGATCATCAGTCTGATAACAACACCACCTTTGAATTTTTTTTACATCCACTTTTCTTTGGACGCTGAGGGTCGTCCTGCCAGCTGTGTGTCTCCTGATAACGGCTGAATGAGCAGTAAATGATGCCTTCATGGTCACGTTATCTGAAGCATTAGCTCTCTTTGATCTGAATCTGGCTGCTCACGGAGCATCTTCTTCTTCCTTTAGTTCAAGTTGGGTGAACCTTTACTTTGAAAGGATTCCAGTGAGGCCTTCGATTATAGGATCAGCAGCAATTCAAGCAGCCGAGAAGGTTAAAGGTCACAGCAAGACTAAAGAACTAATGTTCCTCTTAGCCTTGAAGGCCACCATGCCAGACTGCTGCCAAAGAAATAAGAGGGCAGAGACAGGAAGACTTTACTTCAAAATAAAAGCATATATTTCTCTCTCTTTCTCTCTGCAGAAAGTTTCAAGTAGATTTCAGAGCAATGAAGTGAAACAAACGGCTACAAGGAAAGACGGAAATTAATCTAAAAACTACTTTAATGATGTGGAAAATGATCAGCATGTAAAGTCAATGGGATTTCTCATCAAAATATGTTATGTTTCTTTATTTGAACACAGGCAATGCATAACGAACACTAACCTGAAGGAGAGATTTAATGCACCGGGTCTTGTAGCATTTTTTCCCCACCATAGTCACTGGGTTGGTACGGGAAATAATGAAATATCTAAAATAAATTAGACATCAAAAGAAAATTTGACATTGAAAAATTTACCAAAGTCTTCAACCGACTAATACATGTAAAAAAAAAAACACCACAATACTTCTCTAAGTTCCTCCAAAGCCTCAGATCGTCTCTCCTTTCAGCTAAACAACATTCCCCCCCCCCCACTTCATCAGCACTTAACTACCTGTTGACGTCTGACCTCTGAAGTATGTATATCCCCCCTACACTGCAAATGTGGAAAGCTGCTCTCCATTACAGCAAAACAGCACAAAGAGCTCCGTTTGTGAACGATGTCATTAAAGCAGCTGTTTAAAGTGTGTGTGGGGGGGTCTTTGAGCTAATGGAGGGTTGTTTTGTTAAGAGCCCTCAGGGATCATTTTATCATCGAATCTGCGGACGAGTCCTGCAGTCTAATGCATGGATGTGGGTCAAAACAATGACGGAGGCCTGTATGGGCGCACTCGAGACATGTAATCCTCTTATTTGGTCTCAGAAACACATTTCTAAAAAAATGTCCTAATCTTTTTCTGAGTATTATTTATTTTAAGGTTCAGGAATGACTTGAGATCCCACAGACAGGGAGCGTATGTAGGTGGAGTCTGTGATTTCCTCTGAAGCAACATTATCCTGCCATCAATTAATGATGCAAACATAACGACGCTGGTCTGAGTAGATGTTGTCTTTGGACTACGTGGTGAATAAGGAATCACCAAGAGAACAAGCCGAAGTATAGGTGTAAGCTCCAGAAGTGGTAGAAGCATTCAGATCCATATCGTCCGACGATGATTGAGCATTTTATTGGTTTCAAATGACCTTGTAAACTGGCTACTTGTTAAACAAACAGGTCGAACGCGTCGTTTCTCAACTCCAGTCTTGCATCTCAAGTTGCCAATCGGAGTGCAAACAACGAGCAGCACATGGAAAAGAAAGTCTTGAAGACAGAATGACAATGAATGATCCTTAAATCCCTTCAGTCCTTGTACATGTGAGATGTGTACTTAAATAAGGAGGAGAATGTCAATATCAGAGGGAAAATTAGTGGTGTACATTTTAACAAAAATTCCTGACTTGAAAATATCTAAACAGATCAGATTGTGACAAGTTGTAAGTGTTGCTAAATTGGCGAATTTTATAAACAGAAGCCCCTTTCGCCTCCATAAAGAGAAGTGAAAAGGTGATTATTACTGACAGGGTTACTGACGGTGTGGAAGAATGTAACTGTTAGTTATTGGACAAAAGATATTTCAGTCGAGACCGAAGTGGCAGGCAGACGGACATTAGCATCCATACAGCCCTGCAGCTACAGGATTTATTTTTACTTCACACATTAAATAATAAACTGCAGATTGTTTTCTGCTCAGTGTGAAACCTGTTAGGAGCGGCTCGGTCTAATACCTGGAGGAGAAACACAAAGAGGACACATAGAGTCTGTCTGAGTCTCACAAGACTCATAAAATCATAAAATGAATGTGTGGCGTCTGGACTCTGTGTGTGTGTGTGTGTGTGTGTGTGTGTGTGTGTGTGTGTGTGTGT